CACATCCCAAGAATTGGCAATCAACACATAAAGCAAAGCCACAGGACAGGAAGAGCAAGAAGGAATCAGATCATCATCACTTTTCAGATATGGCTACAGGCTCCGCATCACATCCCTTTTGAAATAGGGCTAACTTTTTCCCCCAAAAATCAGCAACTCATTTAAAGCGTTGTTTGTATCGTGCTGAGTTGAGTCCTACTGTGTCACCCAGCCTTTACTGTGATAATTGCTCTGCATTTTAAAGCATTCTCTTATATATTTCTGTCTTCCTGCAGAACACAGATGGTAAAGTTAACTGAGGATAAAATCAAGACAAGGCAAGGTTTAAGTGAGGCTATGTGAGATAAGGTCATGCTTAAGTATGGAAAAGTATAAAAAATTTGACAGAATTGTTAGTTTTAGAGAGAAATATTCTGTAAATCCACCGTCCTCTGACAGTATTTCAGCAGCAGAATCAACGTGTTTAGCCATCAGCGCGTCCTTTTGTCTGATAAAGATATGCTTTAGTGCCAAGGTAATGATGTCACTAAGTGAATTGTTGTTGTTGCACTTGTTCTCTGAGCCACTTGACACATTTTGTTTTAGTTTTTTTCTATCTCTCTCTCTCTCAGTAACAGTCAGCAGATGAGCATCAAATGATCAAGCTGAAGTGTTTGTATCTGGCTGGACATTCAACAGATAGAGCTGTCCCCATTTGGTGCATTATGTAACTCGCACCCAAACGAGGCTTACTACAGCAAAAACAGCTCGCCCGATGTGTCACAGAGAAAGAGGGAGGACAGAAACAGTGCGGAATTTCTAAAATATTCCCTAATTGTGAACACTTAGTAAAATGCAGCAGCTGGTCCATTTCACATTATTTTTTGCAGTGATGTGATGGACTTTAAAAGCTCAAATGTGTTACTGTTCGCCTGAGCTGAGACGGTTCAATCAATATTGATCATCTCACCCAAAGCTGAGTGAATCATAAGTACAGATTATGAGCGCAGCCTGGAGCATTTTTAACAGATAATGAGAGATTGAGAAACAAGAGATTGAATTTGTTGGTTGGAGTGATTACATCCAATCGTCCTTTATGTTGCGGTGCTATCAGGACCAATACAGATCCTTCAGCCCCCAGAAAATTTTCCCAAATACTGTCATTATCTCCTTTTCAATCATGTCCACTTCCTAAAAATGTTGCGATCGTTTCTGTAGCTGTGCAGCTATAAGGAGGGGTGGTTGAGTGTCTTAAACCCAACCTAATAAGATTTATAGACCCATTCATTGCTAGGCAAACCATTCATATTGCTGAGCCAGTCAGTAAAAAAAGAAAGAAGGAAAAACAGGGTTTCAAACTGATCTGAAGAGAATCTTTGAACACTCGGCAAGAAGAAAAACACTCATCAGGTTGTGTCAATGAACATATTAAGAGAGCTAATGTACCATCACTGATGTACGGTTTAGTTTGTGTGTTTGTGTTTTTACTCTGCAGTATTCAGCGACGAGATCATGTGGAGATAATGATGATGTTTGTATTCTTAGCTCTCTTTAAACCACGTTGAACGCCTGGAATATTATTAAACTACAGTGTAATTAGTAAAATCTAATAGACTATTATCAGCATATAAGCAAATTTTAAAGTGAAATAAAAACACAAATAAAGAAAACATGAAAGCATCAGGCAACCGAACAGCTTCAGCCCAAAGAGAATGAAAGCTGCATGGGGAGATAAAAAAACAACAAGATTAAGGCGTTTCCTCTTGAAATGCCTTGTGGGCATCGACTGCAAGAGGCTCTTTGTGTGTTTGTGTGAGACATTAGGGGTCATAATTGAGTTGGGCTGAACAAGGCCAATGACCAGGGCCCAATGACCAGAGCAAAAAGGTCAGTGGCTGGAGTTTATTGGGTTGCCGTTTGGAAATGCTACTAAACCCTGCAGGCTTTACCCATTTGCAACAAATCACTTCCGACAGATAAACCGATCAGCTGCTATTTGTGGAAGCATAGCATTTACTTAGAAGCCATGAGGTTGTAGGTTCAAGCATCAGTGCGCGAGTTAAGAGACCGTTGTTCAACACTTAGTGAAGACAGACTCAACACATGTGACGTTGCATACTTGTGAGCTGCTTCAAATCTGAAAACAACTAGTTTATGACTCCAAAAGGACCCATTCTGACCTTTGTAAACAATATTAAGATTAATCCTTACATAGTGTAACATACACAGTCTGGTCTGACATTCATTACATCAGTATCTGAAGGCAAGCAAAGACATTTGCCCTACAAACGACTAATTTTAATGTCCTTTATGCTCTCTGTTGCTCTGCCAGACACCACCTGAAGAACATGTGCTGCTGTAATCTAATTTATTGTTGTGCACTACGCAGAATGAGAATTGATTTTAAAACAAGAGGAAAAGGGTGACATGAATAACAATATCATGTAGTGAGAAAGAACAATAAGCAGATCGATAGTCAGTGGTAAATAATGTTTGTCCGAAGAGTAAAAATAATGGTTTTGTGATAACATGTCAGGTAAATTAAATTAACCTTCTTGTTCAATATAGTGCATGATGCAGAGAACACCGTTAGGGAAAAGCTGTTGTTTTAATTACGTACATGTTAGGAGTGATATTACTTGTTCAAGTTGGCTGACAATTGACATTTCATGTGATGTATTAACATAAGGTGCTCCACCATTTTCGCTGCAGTTTAAAGCTGACTGATGTAAAATTATTACGCTGCTTCCCGTGACTTAAAGAAATAAATTTTTCCTCTGCTGTATATATCTTATTCTTAACAACATGTAAAGAGACAGGGTTACTGCATGGAGTAAAAGGTCGACTTATGGTCATAAACTTCTGGTGTTGCACATCTTACATCACAAAACAAATACTATCTTGTGAACAAACAATAATGTATGTATGTATGTTCTTGAAGAATTATAATGCACTCTGTGGCAGGAATTTCTTGTCTGGCCTTAAAGTACTGTTGCCTGAAAATAATCCTTTCTCACGCTTCCTGCATAATTTATGAAATTTAGTCTTTACTTCTATGTAGGAGCAGCGAGATCAGTAATGAAGTACCAAAAAGCAGGTCGAAAAATTACCTTGCGTGAATAATTTAACAGATTGAGTTGTTTGAATTTGTTTTCTGACAAGTAAGTATAAGATTGACAAAGCAAAGCAGACAGTTTGATTTGCAAGTACCAATTACTTATTCAGTAGATGTAATTTTCTTAGAGGCGAGGAAATTTCAGATAATTGAACCAGTACAAAGAAAAGAACTGAATGGCCCTGGATTTTTTATGCACTGCCTGTACAGCCTTTGTTTTTTAAACCCGATATACACACGCATCTGAACACGGTGGCTTGTGCAGTTATATATTGGTCTGAAGGCGGTGTTTACATGCTTCCGGTTCCCAAAAATACTGACAGTGTAGACAGTAGAACTGCTAAGTTTTGTTGGGAAAGTTGAAGGGCTAGTCTTAAGTCAGTTGGTCCAAGGAAGGTCAGAAGTCTTGTTCAAGTACATTTCAAGTCTCAAAGCTTGTTAAATATAGTCTTAAGACTATATTTTTATAAAAGACACCTCAAGAAAAGTCCAAATCATGTCGTGTCAAGTCCCAGTTGTGTCTCAAATCTTGTCAAAGCGAGTCTTACATCAATTCTGGGCCCAGGTCAAATCTAAGTGCCGTCAAATCGAGTCTTAAGTCAAGCCTTGTCAAAGCAAGTCACCACTCAAGTCTTTTCTTTAGGCTTGTCAAAGCAAGGTGTATTAACTGCTGATGGACTCAGTGGGAGAGAATGAAACTCTGCCCACAAGAACTACAGTGAACTGCTGTGTCTTTCATTGTTTTTTTCTTGAAAACAGGCGCTGCAATTACACATAAGCTGTCGGGGGATTTGCATAGTTCATTTAACTACTGCTGACACTTTCTCAATGGCATTAACATTAATTTATTTATATCAATATTAGACCACAGAGACAGCCAATTACACTTTACTTCTCTGCTCTCTCCGGCTAAATCTAATGAGTAAATGAGTTTCCAAGAAACACTGTGCTGCACTGTATGGCTTCGTTCCAGGTCAGTGAGGTTAATATCTATAGTGCAAGTGACTGTAACAAGCCAATGTGAATCATGTCTCTCTGAGAGCTGGCAGACTGCATCACCATCTTGGAAATATGTGGAACAGGAGCAATCCCTATTAATAGGCCCTCTGTGTGAAAGCTTTTAATTTGGACTTTGTACAGCCTGATCTGTAGCACACTGTGAAAATAATGTGCAAAAACCCACTGCGTTTCTCTTCCAGAACTTTCACACTGCCATGCTGGGGCTCCCAGATCCTTTCCTGCAAAGATTTTTTCATTACAGATACAAACTCTCTGCTGGCCAGCACTGGTCCTGTGATACTGTCCATACAAGCTCTGCAGCTGAGGCACCGATTCTGTAAGCAAATCTGACTCCATCATAGGGCAATATTAGAAAATTATTTATCAATCAATACCTCAACTATTCTAAGCCTAACAAAGTTAATATTTGTGTTTGGCTCCACAGTGTCCCTGTTCTCTTCACCTCCTGTGTGTAACAAAGGGACAAAAAGACTGATACCAGGTAAAGATAGTCAAGGTGTGGCTGCAGCTAATGTTGATATCTGTTCCTAATTATTGAAATAATTAAAGTATATTCTCTAGTATTTTTGTTAGAATATACTGTTGTCCAATACCTACAGACAGCCCCAAAAGTAAGTGAATGGAATAAAATTAACATTTGAAAGCCTTTAAAATTATTTGGATTCTTTTTTAAAATCCAAAGATGAATTCAATCATTTAAAGACAGCATATGGAAGCTGTCTGGAAGTTGATTACCAAATTAAATTAACTTAACTTATAATGCATCATATAAATGCACATTTATATTAGCTTTTTTAAATACACCAGTTTCAATTTAACACTATAGGAAGCTATAATTATTCCATTGACACACTCCATACCCTGAAAGTAAAAAAATATTCCAATATACATCAATTGTAACAATGCTTTATATAATATTGTACTAAACTGGTTTACAACTGTACATGGGGGAAAACGTCCCATATATGACCTACTGTAGCTCTAAAAAAAAATCCAAACACGCACATCAAAGCATGACTTAATGTTATAAATAATTTACAAGAAAAATAGTATTACAAGGAAAAAATAGTGCCTTAGGAAACGGGCACTGTCCATGAACTCTTTCAATACATCTTCTCTGTACATACATTATGTCTTCACATGTATATTTCATAACAATCCACATCACCTAAATAGAAAGAAAATGTATTTACAGTACAGATATTACAATAGAGTGTAATTTGAGTTAAGCATGAGACAAGAGCAATGTAGTGACTAGAATGGGTGACTGAAATAGTTCTACAAAACATAAACTATTTCCTTTTATATTTCAGTAAAAATGCCTATATGTGCACACACAATTAGGAATAATAGAAAGGATTTAAATTTTTTTGTTAATTAAAAAAAAACAAGAACTTCAAACCGTTCTTCAAATACATAATTTGGAAAAAGAAAGGCCATGAGTGACAGACAGTGGGTTCTGGATACACTTGTTGCTGGGTGAAATCCAATGATTTTCACCTTCTCTGTTTTGCATTGTTTATGAAGACTTTTCCACAGTAAATAATAATACATATAGACTGAATCAGACAAAATATGGCAGCAATGAGATTCTGTTCCTATGATAAACACCAATCCTTTAGTTATACCCAGGCAAAGAAAAGTCCCTATGCACACTGTGGAAGTATTATGCAGAACCATTCATTATCCTGCTTTTACTTGTACAAACATAAATCTTTAATTTTTTTCTTTTTTCTTTTTTGAAACAGCGTGCCTGAAATTTGCAGCATTTTGAGTAAGACTGAATGGAAAGTTTCCCCAAATATGATTATGCTAAAAAGTTTTGTGCAACTACATGTGGAATTACTGATGTGGTTATCACTGAGGAATAAATGAGTGTGAACACCTCTAAACCCCATCTCTGCCTTCTATCCTGCAGCCACCCTGCTTCGTTGGGGGACAAAGCATAAAAAACCCCATCATATTGCGTGTTATTAGTGATGGCGCGAGTCAGCTGTGAAATGCCTCTGCTCTCGGGGTTTACTGGGGGCCGGTGACGCAGCTCAGAACTGGCACAACTTCCAAATTAGCCAGAGGCTCCGACACTGACATAATGCCATTTAATGAGATGCCTGAGTCCACAAAAGAGACGAAGATTGAAATGCTGCTCCTGAACCTGTGCCAAACCTTTTCTGAGGAGGCTCCATCTTCAAGTTGCTTTGAGATTACAGAAGCGAGTCTGAATCTGAGAGGAAACAGACACTGGGCAGACAACTGAATGAAGCAACTTCCAAAAAAAACATTTGTATTCAAAAGATGGAACATAACGGAGAACGAATCCCACAGAAAACCTCAGAGGATCTTTTGGGAACAGTCTGGACTGAAAAAAAACCCTCCTCAGAGCCATGTTTTTGCAAACTTTGACGTATGCTGGTCTTGAGCAAAAACATCCTGCTGAGATCAACATTTCATGGATGAAGAAGTCAATGTGGCGTCCCCTTTCTTCTCAGCTCCAGAGTGTGCAGGCCCTCCTGCCGACCCAGGGCGTGCTGTGTGCCCACTTTGTGGGCCGTCTCTGTAGCAGTGATGTCAATCTGGGCATACTTGGTGGAGCTCTTTCCTGTCAAGATACAAAAACAGACCCTCTTAACATGAAGGAATGTCATAGAAAGTTTAGCGTAACAAACTTGCGGCAAAGCTAGCTCCTTTTGGTAGCTGGCAGAAAATTATAGTAATAATTCAAAGTTTTGGGAAATCCATTTATTGGCTTTCTTGCTGAGTGTTAGATGTGAAGGTTGAGACCACTCATGTCTGTGAGGTAAATATGAAGCTACCACCAGCAGCTGGTTAGCTTAGCAAACAGACTGGAAATGGCTAGCATGTCCAAATGTAAAATGAATCTACCTCCCAGCACCTCTAAAGTTCACTTGTTAGTGTAAAACATTTAAAAAGGGGTTCAACTCAGCTATTTCTTACCGTAGTCATTTCCTGGACACTACAACTTGTTGTTTTTACGCTACGTTTTTTTCTATAGATTAAAAAAAAATATTAATTTGTGAATGTCAGAGGTGCATTTTGTTACTTTCAGACAGAGCCAGGCTAGCTGTTTCCCCATTTCCAGCCTTTGCTAAGTTAAGCTCTGGGCTCAATTGCGAGTTGCTGTAAAGACCTTAGTATTGATGAGCTCCGACGTTAGTGGTTCTTCTGTCTGTATTGGAGAAATTATTTATCTTTGGTGCATTTACCCAATCCAAAAGAGAGATGCCTCTCTCACATACACAGACCTGCTCTGATCTTGTCTCTTTGTAACAATAGTGGAGAGAAACAAATGCTCGAATGCACTAGAGTCAATGCTAAATGCTCATTATCACAAGTGCAACAGGTGTTTTGCATGTAAGGCAGAAACATGAGCAGGACACACATACAAGTGAAGAAATGCACAGTTTTCAACTACATGGCTCGTTGCCTTTAAGTGTTCTTAAAAGGTCCAGTGTGTAACATTTTGGAGGAACTGTTGTCAGAAATAGCCCTTTCACGTTTTATGGCCCCCGTAGTTTCTCCTACTTCTCGTCAAATACAGACGTCAGTGCAACGTCAGTTAGTTGCAGTCTGAAACTTCACTAATAGATGCCACTAAATCATACACACTGGTCCTTTTTGAAAAAAATAACAAAAACAACTGACCAGAGTACCATTAAAGTATCCAATCGATAAGCATTATGGTAAGAGTAGTAGTACCCTTAAACTCTTAATGATACCCATTCCTGTCTTCTCATCAAATCCTCATGAAGGAAGTGAAATAAACATATTTCACAAAACATTGCTCTATTCTTTAAATTGGCAGCACTCACTCGTTTTTAGTCATTTCCCTGCAAACATTCACTGGTTCTCCAAGTCTTCTATTATGGTAAACCAAATCATCTTTTTGTACAAGACATTTGAAAGAGTCAACCATTCGCTGACATTCTTTGGACAAAAAAAAATCGTTAGTTACAGATCTTTGTAGTTGACAGCAAGAGCACTGCTGAATCATCTTTTGAAAAAATGAAAATGAAAAAAAAATCTGAATTTCGACAACTGATGAAAACGTCCAAACAAACATGACAACACAGAGTTCAGAGTGAAGTGGATCTCTGCCCTCGCTGCCAACATGATTGCCTAAGGTATGCGAATGCACGTCGCCGCACAAAGCAGAAGAATATGCAAAGGATTCAGCTGAAGCCTTTAAAAGTCCCCTCATGCACGGTCTTCCATATGCACGTCACTAGCATTGCTATAATTTGGTGCCCTTCCTTGTGTGAAAATCAAATTGGCAAGGCGTAATCGCAGAAGCAGACTGTGCTTGAATATCACAAAAACGCACATCACCATACCGCTGCCACCTGCTCGAGTTGTGTGTTTTACAGTCATAACGTCGAGGAAATCCAAATCTCACAACACATCAATAGTCCCTGGTGGAGGATCCCATTTGAGCCCGTGAATTCACAGCTGTGATCTGAATGCCCTGTGACCCCCTTTCAGTGGCGAGATGGGACAACCCCTCCTCCCAGGTGACAGATTAATGAGGCTGCATGCCGGGATATGAACTGTATTGCTGACATCAGACGTTAACCTCTCTCATGTCAGAGCCCGAGCGGTCCTCGTATTCCTGAGGGCAATGACGCTAATAGCCGACTTGTCTGTCAATTACAGCTCACTACCGCGTCTCCGATGACAAGGACACAGCTGTCTTTTAGTGAGACGAGAGGAAATCAGCTCAATCGGTTGGAAGCGATTCCTGTAACTCTGACGAAGTAAAATAGAATTACAGAACAATCATGCGTTGTGAGTAACTTTTTATCCTTGCTTGATATTGATGTTTATTTTAAGTTGGCTCTTTCATATCTGCCTGCAGGATTTGAACAGAAAATGTATTATTTACAAAACTGCCTTTCTGTAATGCTGCACGGATCAGAGCACGAGCACAAATAAGAAATCCTTGTACACTGTGTGAACAAAGACGAGAACATAAGGCCACGACGGAGGTTATTTTCTTTTAAATTTAAACCTTTGGCATTAAAAATCTGCTTACATCTAATCTATTAAAGATCCTCATTAGAAATACTCGTGAATTTTTCATGCACATTTCTAATGGAGATCTGAATAATCATTAAAAGCCATTCATGATTTTCTAGTTTATGATGATAATTGGCATTTACAGCATTGGGCTATTTGGGCAGAGCTCTGGTACACGACTACACAGATTTATATAATGATTACATGGTATTCAGGGGAACAGTGCATTAATATCGAGTAAGCAGGATTTAATAATGGTGTCTAATAATAGCAATAGTCTGTCTGTGTGTGGGCGCCTTCATATAACTCCACCAATATAACTACAGTACATAAAATATGGCGGATTTATCAGTTAAAAGAGGATTAATACAATAATTCAATGTCTCTGACGTTGCTTTAATATATATCTTTCCTCTAGGGTGTGATTTTTTTTTTATACTTGTGCAAATAGAATACACACTGATCACTGAGTTACCAGACTTCAAGGTTAAAACACAAGTAGCTGTACAGGAACTTGACGTTGAATCTGACCAGACGTTCAATGCCAGCTTTTGGAGGACGACCAATTTCAATACTCAGTGTTACAGACATATTTTGTTTGGTACCAAAAAAGGCTCTGAGGTCTGATACCTACTGTAGCTCTACCACCATGTACCCCACCGCGTGATATTTAAGCGATTCTAGGTAATGCGATTCCAACAGCTTTCCGCTCTGTGTGCGCACTGGTAAGAAATCTGGTGGTTGTTCAGCAGCAACTGTAGCAACAGTCTGCAAACACACAACATAGCAAATGTTACATTACTGCTGTGTCATTGTTCACACTATACAATGATACTGGATTTCTTCGATGCTTATCTGCCTCAAAGTAGTAAAGCTGAAACGCCAACGTCATCCAGATAGATTGAACAAATAACAATTTGCCACAATCTTCCAATTGTCTCAATTTAGTTTTAGTTTGAAGTGACATGATTCTCTGATGCCACTTGTTGCACAATAGTTACATAAATGTTTCTCTACAGGTAGTTTCAAACCCTGACTGTTCAACAACGAGGGATAAAGGATGTTGAATGTTGCACAGATTATAAAGCTACCTTTGTCACCAAATTGTTTGATTTTGGGCTATATGAATAAAATTACTCAATAACTTGAACATGGCTGTTGCCTGAATAAAGCAAAAAAAAAAAAAAGTGTATACATAGTGATATAAAGCTAATAGATATTCCTTTAGAGAGAAACCTTAACTTATTAAAGGGAGGTGCATTCTTACTCTGAGGCGGGAGATGTGTGACAGTCCCTCGGGTGCCAGGACCCGGCTCCTGCAGCTCTAGCTCCATGTAGTTGAGTTGCTTTTTGGATGTGGGGCTAACAGGAATATTCACATATGTCACACCTTCGCTGCGAGGCCGTTCAGGAAGCGGTGCCTCTCGGGGGAAAACGAACACTGCACCTGTCAATGCAAAGTGAACAAAGTGTTAATTTTTTTTACAATCCTAGAAGACAATTCAGCCTGATAGCTTGTACTGTATCTCCATGCCAAATAGCTCCACTGTCACCCCAAAAACATTTTAAACACATAAAAGACCCATGCAGTTGCATTTGGACTTTGTACAAATGCAGCCAGTTATTTCCTGAGATTTGGTTCCATTTTTCTGTATTCATTCTAATAAAAAAAATAAAACTCTCTTTAATGCCACAGTATGGCTCTTTTATGTGTTTCTAATAGTTTTTGGACAACAATGGAGCTCTGTTGCACAGAGGAATAAACTCTACCAGGCTGTGGCTATGCAGACAATACACAGTGGGATAAATTCATTGTTGGTTTTCATCTTTTCATGGTATTTTCTGATAATATTGAAAAGATAAAATAGCACCAGGCTTACTGTGACACTAATTTGAAACAGGAATTGTTTTTGTCACTATGACCTTAATTAAAAGATAATGATGAAGAAATCAAGGATTAGTCTGGTGTTATTTTAACACTTTGTCATTATAACCTTAATCAAAAGCAAAAAGATTTCCCCCTCCAGGGTTAGTAACTCTTGAGGCGACAGTCCTTATCGACAACCTAATGTTAATTAGATTCATTCAAATACAGACATCTGCAATAAAGTGACAATATTATTTTCAACAGTAAAGCACAGCAGCAAATCATGGGATCCGCAGCTACACTGGCACAAAGTGTATTCCAATGAATTGCCCTTTCCCCCCAGAGGCTACTTATGCATGATTAGCGGATAGGCCCTAGAGATAAATTATGAGATACATTATGGCAATTTTGTGTCATGAGGCAGTAAAACTCTAACTTGCTGCCCTTTTAATTCCACCATCAGAGCTCCGTTTCCAGTAACCAGTTCCTTGAACAATCTCAAAAAAAATTCAACGACAATTTGATACTTATCTTTAAAGTACAACCCAAACAGGAGCTCCCACATGTTGGCAAAATAAGTTTGTATTGTAATAATTTTTTTTACTGTAAATAATGCAAAATCCAGATAAGCTGATTCATTTTTCCAGTATTTGCAGCACCAACAGAGGTACGCATCATTGGCAGATTTCTCTATTTTAAATGACTAAACCACAGTTAAAAAGCAAATGCATTTTGCACAATTTATCCAAATGTACTAAAAAATAAACCCTTTTAATGGCAACCTGACTACCGTTCAACTTTGAACTGGTGCTAAAGCAAACAACGTTGTATTCTGGGTAAAAACAGTGAATGCTTCAAGAATCTGCTCAAACAGTGCAGTCAGCAGAAAAAATGTGTCAAGTAAACTAACAGGAAATGTCGCCTCAATCCATTTCAACTGAATAGCTTTTCCTGTCAAACACACAAATTATAGCCACAGTGTTGCCTAGAGTGCGTTGTCCGTGTAATTTATTGTGCTTCATAAATGGTTTACCTGTCATAAACATAAAAGCCACCCTGGATAAAGAGGTGCAGAGTCGAGTTCATTGCTGGCTGGTGGAAAGCGGTTTAGCTCAATGTCTTATTGAAACAGGTTCAGAACAACTGCATAAAATATGTGCATATTTCAGCTCTGTGACACGCATCATCCAGTGCTTTTATTTTTCATGCCTGTATCTACAATGCCAGCAAAGATAGCTACAACCTTCAAAAACAGAGGGAGAGTACACTCAAGGATATCTTAGAAATTTGCATAACTTGAATACATCTGTTCTCCCCTGCGAATAGAAACTAGGAAAACTAAGATGTACTCATTATTTCTGAACAGTGATATAAACATTTGTTATTGATTTTACCTGTGTGTAAACACAAGTGAAAGAGAAGAAAGCCAGATAAACAGATTACTGAGTTTTAAGGTCAACCTACAACTGCACTGTTCAGAGGAATCATGCATTCATGTTGGCTGCCTCACACCAGCCCAGTGTTCAAGTTAGACCTGTGTATAATCAGGAATTAAATGTTAAAATGTCAAAACAATTAACGTAAGGGAAACACGGATATGTTCTCTCACACATGCACACGCGCACACACACACACACACGCTGCTTTCAGCAAATCCTCTGATATTTTGGCATTTTTTAAAATTTTCTAATTAATCAACTAATCGTTTCAGCTCTACTCTAATCCAGCTCTAATCCAAACCCTTCTCTCCACTGTGAGGGGGGTGAGTGCTTATGTAATTCATGTCAAGCAGTGTACATCAGCAAAAACTATTACTCATTAACTGACGCAACTATTTAATAAACAGTGTTCAGGTTCTATAAACAGTGCTGGTCTGTGCCTGTAAGAATCTGTTTACCCTCCTTTATGCCAATTACTGCAAGACTACTGTTGTTTGAAGATTAAAGAGAATATCTGGATCACAGAAAACAGACTACAATTGTTAGACAATCCCAACAGCAGTCGTAGCACAACAGACCCACAGTTCAGCGGCAGATATTTACTGCTAGAAACACAAATGGGGATATCTCTAGAAGACTACAGTTATTATACATCTTTAACAGTAAATAAGAATAATACATGTATTCCTGAAAGCACATGCATTGTCTTGTGTCAATCATATTCATCAAAACTATGAAATGCTGCATAAAATACATTATTTTAGTGACTGTAAAGATGGTCATGGGTTCATATGTGTTGCTACAGCTGTTTTGTAATTACACTAAATTTTGTTCAGAGGCTGGGTAATACGTAACATTTGGGGACAACATAAATTTCACCTGCTATTGACTCTTTCTAAATGGCAGCGGACAGCGGCCATTACCCACAGCTCAGAAGCATCAACCCCAGGGGACACTCATACAATCAGCGAGGAGCCATTAGACGCCGGCAGAGTCTCAGTGGGTGCAGCCTTTGGCAACATCTAAGAGGTCGGATGCCGAACAGATCAGACACAAAGCAGCCCTCGCAGTAGTGTAGTGTTTTATAATGGCCTGCTATTACAACAGTGGGTTTGCCAACAGCTCTAAGGCTAAGGGACTTTTCCCACAATACACTTTGTGAAGCCTCTAGGGACGACGTTAGAATACCTGACTGAGCTTAGTGACCCGAACCTACAAAGTCAACTGCTTTTGTTGGAAAACACGGGTCTAATGACAGGCCTCTCACCCTGAAGATACAGCTGTTTATCTAGTCTAAGGCAGACATTAAGGCAGAGGTGAAAATGTTCCTGACTGAACCCAAAGGAGTTATGACTCAAAATGCCAGCATTTGAGAGAGCTATTGCTAGTCCAAAATTGATGCTACATACTGTAAAGACAATAATATTACTATCAATAAACAAACCTCTTGTCAAACACCAATAACAAATGCCAAAATTTTTCTCAGTTATACCTGCCAACAAGGACTTCACCAGGATAACACAATGCCTTCCAAGGCTGTACCAGACTCGAATTGTGAATCCGATTTGGCTGTTCAATACAAAGATTTGACTATTTGTTCCTTTTTTTTTTTAAATCAGCGCCACACTAAACTCCTCTATCAGCCGCCCTGCGGTGGAAACGCAGCTGCATGAGTCAGATACATTGTAAGTGCCAAGCATTTTTGAAGTTGTAACTGCGGTAGTGCTCTGTTGTTTTGCTGAATTTTGAAAAGCTGAAATATGGTGCAGACTGTGTGGGAGTTGATGTCTGCTTGCATTTTTATTTCTAAATTCACTGATATTGTACAGTCTTCCTGCATAGATTACGACCAACATTTTATTAGACCCACTTTGCTCAGAGTGACGAACCTGCAAGATGGCTGTGATTGCACAGTGCAAATGGGGCCTCAAGACTAGTTGTACTACAGGTAAATATCCCACTAGAAACATTAATGCTTGCACAGAAAGCCTGAACAGAGGCCTCAATATGGAACCAAAAGAAGTCAATAAAATCAGTCGTAGCTGCTAACTGCACTGTTTTATGAAATCAGGAGCTAAAGCTGTTTTAAGTGTTAGTGTTATCAAATTAAAACAACATCACATGAAAATCGTGTTCTCATTTCAGGCGAGCCTGCATCCTCAAACCTAAATCTGAGCCACTGGACTTGGCCACCTCCTGCACGTCCCCGTCCATTAACTGCTTGCTGAGGCAGGCTGATGGGAAAGATGACATGGGAGCCGAGCCAAGTGTGTGTGGGTACATGAACATGACTGATGGGTTCGGTGCCACACTGTGACAGCTGCTGGGAATTTCTAGAGCAGGTGTGCGCTAGACTGAGGGCATGTTTCTGGGTGTGGGATGCTTAAGTGGCCAAACGTCCCCTGACAACCGTCCCCTCACCTCACATCAGGGCAGGTATCCTGTCACGCATCACCGCACTCTCTGTTTGGTTACACATGTGTTTTCTCTTGACACAATTGGTTCTTATGCAATCAAGTTTATGGCGTTACATAAAGTGCCGATGAAGACGTACATGTTCACGCTACAGTGAGCCCTCCACCACACAATGAAAAGGAGAGGTTGCTGGAGTCCTTTATTCTAAATGACATTCATGAGACACAAATTATGTGTGTGACTAATGCCTGTATTTGTTTTACAGGCTTGTATGTGATTCATCTCTGACATCACATCACTGATCACATAAATGAACGCAATTTTCACCGATGCCTGTTTAGCCCGTCATGTACTATCAAGACATTCAAGCCACAGACCTATGATTCTGTTTTTCAGATTTTCCTGGGAACAATCGAGATTTTCAATGTCATGGCTGAATATTTATCTGATTTCGACAATGGGGATGAGGCCCTTGAATTCGATGGCCGCCCGTATTTATTTGAGCCAGAGTATACAGATGAGCTCCTCAAACTAAAGAACGGACGCGGAGAGAGAGAGGGGCGACAGGCTTGGGAGACTGGTGGTGTTCCTGTGGATGCTGTGAACCTATGCCCACAGAGGAGATTTCACAGACCGGATCAAGTGAAAGGTACAAACATCTATGGTGTCAGACACTTACAACAATCTGAGCAGCAAGCATTAAGCAGCAAAAACAAGCACTTGTACTTGGTAATTTCGACAGTACACAATCGTCTGCAAGGAACCTGTTTCGTGATACCTGCCACAAAAACATGGTAAAGTAGAAAAATACCAAAGTTACCCGTACAGTAAATGTACTTAGTAAGATCAAACTTAGCCAGTGGTGGGATGCAGCTGGCTCCAGATATCATGAGTCTGTATGTATGCAGTGTATGTATTCACATGCTATTTACTGGCATAGGTACTCGAAAAAAAAAACAAAAAACTTCCCGTCAACGTCACAGTCCATTACCCTAGATGAAATCAAGTAAACATTATGTGTGTGGTGTACGTGTCGGTTCCGAAAATCACTCTTGTGGCTGTTAATGCCACGTGCCAGTCTACTATTTCAGACACTGAATGGGCCTAATTTTATTTATTTATTCATTTCAATTCATGCACATCGAGCAGCAGGTGATGTGTTTATAGTTATGTTGATTCAGGTGCATGACTCACCTATTTAATTCACTTTTTGTAAGTGGGTTCTAGTTATTATAAGAAGCCTGGGTAATGCACGGCTGAAAACGTTCAGAGCACTCAAAAAGAAAATCTAAAAAGGTTCACTGAGCAAAAAAAAGAAAAGAAAATTCATTTGTGCAGGTACAGACCCAACAATCTGCATCTGTTTAACTGGCTTGGTTGATAAAAAAAAACAACTTGGTTATGTTCATTATGTGATGTTGTGATGTCAACCTCACTCACCTTCAGTCTCTTGAAGGAACCTCTGCTGACCATAGCTGCCCATTAGCTCGTACTTGCTCTTTTCTTCGGCCTGCAAGACAAACAGACAGTGAGCAACTGTTGATTATAATTTGCAGTGAGCGACTCGATCCAGCACAAGTTTATTACATAAGAAATGTGACGATGCCTTTTTCCTCAACAGCTCGGTGGACACGTCAGGACTATTTATAGACAGAGGCTGATATTCAGAATTTACTGAGAGCTCTGGGTTATGTCTTACATGTGGAAACACTGTCTGCAATGCCTCATCGTTATGGAAGGGATAACCATGCCTTTTAGATTGCTGCCACATAATCTCTGATTCCAGACAGCCACTGTAAGCACAGCTATTGTGGTGTGAAAATTGGTGGTGGAGTGCAGCCATATTGCTTTCAGTCTCACTGAGAGGCCACGGTGCACACAGGATTCCTTGATGGGACCATTATCATGCTGAGAATGAATGAGGCTAGTAGATAAAGGTGGATATATGTGAGATAATGGACATCAGCTGATTATATTGGTGCATTTTCTAGCAGCTGGACACTTGAGGGGATAACTTCTAGTATTGTTTTTTTTAATCATTGTGTTGCATTCAGTAGCATCCAGCAATGTGATGTAAGACTGGAAAATATTTTTTTCATAACAGAATGTTGTATAAATAAATTAACTGTATGCCATACAATGTTTTTATTGGCTTTCTTCCCATAAGTTGTAGCAGGAGATCGATACCACTCTCATGTCTGTGTGGAGCTAGATCCAGAAGGCGATTAGCTTATCTTAGCATAGCATAAAGACTGGAAACTGCTAGCCTGGCTGCCAATTTTCTGTTAACATGTTGAATCTTGTTTGTTTAAGACGTAGATGAACAGTAATATAAAAACATTATTGTGTTGCTTTAGAGGGAGTTACATGCTGTAACTATTTCTTGATGAACCAGTTTATTAATCTACTTTCATGCAGCATCACCTCACAGTGAAGACAAGTGTGGAGAAGTCACTGCACCCGGCTGCTAGCACACTTGTTAAACAGTCACAGCACGTAACTCCCTCTGAAACCACAAATTCTCATTTTTACATTCCCATTTGCATACAAATGAAACAATGAAGATATACTGTATTAATTGAGTCTTCAGAAACGCTGGTATGCATATTTTAAAGTTTGGAGAGAGCCCACCAGCCGTTTCCCCCTGCTTCTTGTCTTCATGCTAAGCTAGGCTAATTGCCTCCTTGATCTCTATAAAAACAGAGAATAGCTTCAACAACCAAAATATTAAAGTTTCATTCATATCAGGTAAATGTGTAAGTTAATCGTGATAATATAAAACCAACATAATAATATAACACCATAAAGTTCAATAAACACTTCAACAACATATAATAATGGAGTCCTCCTGAGGTCATATTATTCAACCCTACTGTACTGCCACTTGACTTTTCTTCCTGTTGGCTAAACAAACACCTCTGACATATCTCATCACACCCCCACATTAAAGTCTAAAAAGCGTAAGGTTTTGCTTAAGAGCACTGCATAATATACATTAAGTACAGTACTGTAATCCTCACATCACAGACTGAGAACATTATAGACAATCCCGACTTTCTCAACCTCTTATTTCAACTAAAAGAGCAAGAAAAACTACAAAATGCTGATTGAAGATTTTATGTTCAATTTCAGATATTACCCCTGCCTTTTTGAAAAACTAACCTATCAGCTGCTATTCATTCTTTATAATCCCCATCAATAGGTATTCCCATATCATCAGTCATTTCCCTAAAAATGTCTAGCTGAACTCAGAGCACAATGAGTTACACAGTCAAAATGTGTGAGCGGTTGATAGCATAAAGCGGATTAGAGAGTTTTGGATTGGCCTACCTCTGAGTTCCTCTCCGGTGCCCGGCTCTCCATGATCTCATAAGCAGGATCAGCTCTGCGTCTTTCCTCTTTACTATTAAGCCTTTTGTCTGGCGGGAGAGAAAAATATAGTGTTTTAAATATAAGAAACTAAACTGCAACTTTTTTTTGTGCCAATAGCCAGGGCAGAAAATAATCCCTCATTGTGTTTTCTTAAATCCAGTTTGTGAATCAAAGCAGACAAGGACCTCTCTGGAGATCCAGCGATGTGAACAAATAACAGTGGATTGATTCATCATTTCACAACACCACAAACTATTACACCAGTGGAAATAAGCTGTATTAATAATAAGACGTGCAAGGGACAGACAACACAATCTGCATGCAAGAGGTTCAACGTGCAGCAGACATTAATGTAATTTACTAACATTTAAACACTGTTATCACTAATACTTTATCACTTTTATAATGTAGAAAGCCTTTATATGGTAACCTGACTGATACATCAGCACTGATATAATGGTACGACCAGGAGTTTTTAAGGTCAATGCAATTTCTTGTTACTTATTTTTTATTATATACTTAACTTATATACTATATACTTTATTATATACTTAACATTTATCTGCATTGTATATTCGCTCAGCAGATTTATTGCTCCGACTCTGATTGGCATATACACTCAGTTTTCAGTGTATATCAGCTAAAAAGTAACAAGACATTTCAGAAGAGAAATATTAAAGATAAGATTCTGTAGGTTTGAAATACTTCACATTGTTGCTAATACATAGTTTGTCCACAAGAGAGTGCTGTTTATTTTTCACAATTTAAGTTAAGTAATCAAAAATATTTTATCTTGAAGAACATAATAAAACAATTTTGCGCCATTTTCCAATAAGGCATCTTTAGAAAGGGTTTAAAAGTTTTAACTGAACTAAAATAAATAATACACTAATGCTTAATAGCTCAGTTATAAGCCATTAATTAATAAAACAGGTTATGTTGGTACGCTGAGAAAAAATCTTTTGGTTGGTGTTTTCTATTTGGTAATAATGCTGTTATAAATGTGGGTTATTAATCAATACATTTTGAATAGGTTCTTCATAAATGCCATTTTTATAAAATGGAACCATATGGCTATGTTGGTCAAGGACATTTATCACAACCAGGCAACACAAAGGCTGGCTTATAACTCATTTAGAAGGCATTAGTAAAGGATTTATTAAGCTTAATTAAGACAGCTACAACTTATAAACCCATTAGTACAGGGGCCTTATTTAAACAGTGGTAGTGATTCTCTAGTAGAGTCTATCAATCTTTTCAGATTTTCTCTCTTATTCCCTTCTACTTTTCACAGCCCTCAGCTCAGTACAAGCTACACAACAAAAAGAAACATCAGTGCAGAAAGAAAACAAGCAGTTGATTAAAAAAAAGAAGCCAGGAGGAAAGTGTGTTTTTTTTATTGATGATAACGAGAACAACAGGGCAGAAACAAAGAGGATCCATTTTAAAGGAGTGAAGAGGAAAAGGACACCAAAGGCAGCGTAGAAGCTTTGAAGGGGCCTCTTACCTTCACTGGTCACTGTCCGACCATTCATCTCTTCATACCGACACTGGTCGGCCACACTCCGTGATCCATCACTGTCAGCTTGATAGAGCATTCCCTTATTAGCAGCAACTTCGTGTTCTTGGCTATTCTTCGGGCGCCGCCCAATAGGAAGGGGTTGGAAAGTGGAAATGTTACTGCTGACGTACATTGCAGCGGGTGCGGCCCGTGGAGGAGGGCGGCAGTGCTCTCCTTGACACTTGAAACAGTTTTCATAAATGACAGCGCTTCTGTCTTGCTGTGGATCTTGCGGTGGTACACAGGTGCTAGCTGGTGCAGATTTGAGCTCATTTCCAAATCTAGGGCTCATCGACTCATACAAGTTCAGTCTGTTAGTCTTTGCCTCTGGCTGCCTATCTGCGTTTGGAAAGCCTAACAGATCAGCTAAGAGACTGGCTAATTTCTCTCTTCCTTTTCTTGGCAGCGGTGAATCCTCACTCGTCCTCACTGTTGGCTTCGCTTCGCTGAGGATGCTTCCAGATCCAGGAGAGGCGCAGGATTTCTCCAGAATTTTCCTCACTGCAATATTGTATTCATTGGCAGTGCTGAGGCTGCATGGTGATTTGTCAACGCTTTGATCTGTTGGATTGAAAATATGATGTTCTGCAGGCAAACAACCCTTCAACACACTTTGATTTCTGTCCCAGATCAAATCAGTAAGCTGTGGGTGCAAACCATGAATTCTTTCTCTTCACCACGCACATAAACTCTGTACATGCAAACAGGAATCCATGCAGTGTGCATACAATATTTCAACTGATTACACTTACCTGGTATGGCAGGTATCACTGAACCACTGGCAGGGATGGACGGTGTTCCCTGTGAGAGACATAGAACATTATACACAAACTGCCTTTATTAGATTATGTTTGTGTGAACTATAAATGAACAAACATCTTGGCCTGTTGTTTAAATATGAGGTATTTTAAAAGGAAAATATTGGTAATTATATATATATTTTTAATTGTCATAAAAAGTACAGTGCATTGATCCATCTCTCAGTACTTCCTGGCTTCCGTAGCCCGTCTACACAAGCTGATTTGTTCTCACTGAAGTTGTAAATCTGGCAAAATGGGTCACAAATAACATCTTAAAAAGGTTGTGTATTTTCTTGGGCACTAGTTTTGAACAAAGGTTACTCAAACAGGAGTGAATAGTGCATTTGTTGTCCATTTTCAGCTGCAGATTAGGTACACTAGTGAGTATTTAAAGCAGCAGGACAGTATAGTATGTGGGATCAACTCAAAATAAACTACAGTAGACATGTTCATGGTAATGAAGTGCAGTGACGTGGCTTGTTTAGACATATTTTATAGATTCTGGACAACAAGGGAGCTTTCTTGGTTTTTGGTCTTTTCGTGGGATTTGTTGAAAATAAAACATGCACAATATCTCCTGCTTAAACCTCCAAAAACTCACCCCAGTGGACTGTTTCAGTTTCAAAGCTGTGAGGTGTCTGAATGTCACTGTGACTGCATCCATCACACAGAGCATATTCCACACTTTGATTTTTCTTGTAGATTTACTACCCACACTCCCCTCTTCCCAAGCCAGCCAGACTGTGTGATTGCATTTACGCTATTAATTATGCTAAAATGATCTCCATGCATAAATATATTCCAAAATGTGAAATGACATTTGTATTACGGTTTTGTTATGCTTTAATGTTTTCTTTTGAATTAGACCTTTAACTGTGAGCCAATAAACACTACAGGGGTGGATTGTGTTGCTCACGCTGAGGGTGATAAATGCCCTCCCACACTGCTCCTGCCTGATCCATCAACTTCTAGCCAATAACTCTCATGTTTAATTAAGTTCCCTGAAGAGTGACTGAAATGAGAAAGAATATTTTATTCAGGTAATCAAATGCAATTTGCATTCTTAACTAAATGCACTACCAGCAGGTGGAGCTATATGTTTAGAGTATTCAACAAAATTGACTGTTAAGCACAAAAAAAGCTTTTATTAAGTTGGAACCTGGACAGAAATTTTAATTATAGCTCAAGCTCAACCTTAAAGAGTGGAGCTCTTGCATTTGTAATGCAACAACGATATTTGATAATGTACTGCAGATTTCTACTGAAAATCATCACAGACATGAAGAACAACCACAAGTGTAAAACTGGTGTAAACACACTATATATCACAGCCATGGCAGGATTGATCTCAAAAACAGATGTATCCTCAAATCCAACATTTCTTTCTTCACTTACAGCAATTCATCAAGAAAAAGTAGAATAGGAAACAACAATGTGAACATTTGCTTATTATTATTATTATTATTATTAAGAAATCACCGCCAACTCTATGACCACCAAGCCAAGTAGAAAAGCCCCTCGGAGACAACTGAACCTCACAGTTCATATTAAGAAGAGCAACTTGTGTATAATAGCCACAAATAAACTGGGATTACATTCAGTTTGGAATTTACATATACTTCTAAAAAAAGACAGCAATCCCTTAAGCTCAACAGCATTAAGTTCAGCAATAAATAGGCGAAAAACTGCAAGTCACTCACAACTCCCAAGGTCTGAATCTGCTGGATACAACAACAGTGTCAAACTCAATTGGCTGCTGAAATGCTAACTTGTTAGACAGATGGGCCGTTGCGCTGTTTGTTGTTGTGACACCAAATGCAGGGCGGCATCACCGGCAGCCTGCACGATACGACAAAGGTCATATTGACAGCGTGCTACAGAACAGATGATAGAGTGATAATAAGGCCTGTTCACACAAGCTGCTACTGTATGACAGGGAGTTATACAACAGAGCACATTCAGGACAAAATCTGAACGGGGAAGAAGCCATTTTTTTCAGGTTTTGAGGCGAGCAGATGGCCAACATGAATAGAACTACACCTGTGTCTGAGCTTAACTCAGTCTATTTCTGGCAGAAAGGGTAAAAAGGGACAAAATATTTTTCATAAGATTTTAGTTGGCACAGAAAGATTTTTCTACTCACCTTAAATCCACCACACACTGAGCAGATGGTCACGATGGTTTTGGCGACAGATGTGAGAGAGCTGCAGATATGACAGGAGTCTGGATGCTCACTAGAGGGCGCCACCTTTTTCTTACTCTCCTCTGAGGGGTCTGGTATGTGTTCACTTATTGACCGTGTTTTAGTAGTTTCAGAGTGACCCTCACAGGTCACGGTGCTTCTTTTATCACCCTTTTCTGAGTCTGTTGTGAGGCCTGAAGGCGCAGGAGTGTCCTGATTTGGAGTGCTGGATTCATTGTCTTTGGCATCCCCATCTCCTTCCTGTAACAGATTCCTGGGAGAGTCATAGAGATACCGAAGTGATGTTGGTACCTGGTATTCATGTCCAGGGACAGTGAGGCAAGTACAGGGACTCAGGTCTTGTGCCAAGTGGGGAGGCAAGCTGAAAACAGACCCAAAGTCTTCCCCGGGGGTGATATCCAGGCTGCCTGTGTAGGAGGAGAAACTTCCAGAGTAAGAGGAATGGCTGCCGGTGGCGATGCCGCTGTCAGATGAGCTCTGGCGGCCGATCTCCTGAAGCTGGCGGGGGGGCTTGGCAGCAGGCCGGTTCCCACCTCCCTGGTTGACAGACAGCTTCTCAATGCTCTGCAACGGCGCTTTGGTGACCACGTGGCCGACGTTTTCAGATGGGTTGGAGGCCGGTTCGGTCCAAATGGCCAGCCGGCTGCTAATACTGCAGTCTGATTGGCTGGTGTCTGAAGTGTCGGAGGAACCGGATATGCTGCGGTCGTCTCCCCCGGCTGACGGGCAGTACGAGGACGAGGCTGCCAAGAAGACAACATTAAAAGTTTTATTAATCAACAGCTTTAATATAAAAAAAATATTTCATCAATAAAGCTTTATTAAAGCATCATGATATGTTTATGGTTGTTTTTCCTCAGCCACCTTTCTCCCCAATATCCACCACATAATAATAGGAACAATAAATCACCTGTGTGATTAATGTCAAATCTGCAAACTTAATTTAAATCCAAGAACAGCATTATTAAAAGCCAATGTATCATTTATGCTCTTTGGTGGGAAAGAGGGATCCCTGCAGTAAAACTTTCAGCTATAGTTTTTTTCTACTTTGAATCACAGTACAACAGCGTTAACATGACGTACCTGTGCTGCTCCTGTGAGAGAGCATGCTCAGTCGTTTCTCCAGCTCCTGGGCCTCGTGGTTCAGCCTCTCCTCCGAATTCGCCTGACTGGCACTGGGGTCTGTTTGAGAGAGTACGCACAAAACAAACGAGCAACGACAAGGTAAAGTGAGTGAGATTTGCTACTGAGACGTGGGATCAAATGTGATGCAGCGGAGCGTTTTGTGCTGCTGTGACACGGACACTGCTGTGAAAACACATCCAAGCTACTCCAGAGAAACAAGAAGGGACACTTTAAACCATGAGGGTCTCACTCGTCTTTCTGTGGCATCAGGAAAATAACAGCCACAAGATGTTAGGGAAAATAATACTAACAAATACTCTGGCAGGAGTGTTGTGTACTAATATTTGGTCACAGGCCTTTGGACAGAAAAGGGTCACCCAGGGGAACACCTTGCAGTATTTGTGCAACACTACAGGGTTTATTAATAGCGCTGCCACGTGGCTCTGTTGGTACGCGCGTTGCTGCTGGTGGCTAAAGATTGTTGGTGCTGTTCAAGGATCCAATGTACCTTGGACCATCCAAGGTCAACTCTAACACTGGATCGATTGTTTTTTATCTATCCGAGCCTGCAACAGTAATGTGGTAAATGTACCAGAACTCTGCAAACGATTCAGATCACATCCTATACGTTGAGTATCGACTTACAGTACACAACAGTGTTCTCCACTTAGAAAAGGATAGACTAGATAAACTCATAAAAAGGCGTATGTTATATGAACTGTAACTGGAAGACAAAAAGCTGTATGTGCTACTGGTATTTACTTATACAAACTTCAAGAGGCACATTCCTGAATCCATAAATGTATTTGAGCCCCTACTGCAGTCTAGTGTAGACAAAATAAAATTAGATTCACATTTTTTAAGCCTAAGGTCTAAACTGAAAACTTTAGAGCAAAGATCCCAAATGTTTGTACAAACATTTAAATGTTACATTCATACAGTTTTATGTTGATTATAAATTATTTTTTGAACTTGTATCTCAAACTACAAGTTGTGTACCAAAAAGAACATCATACAAGTATCACGAGAAACTGATTTCCTGGGTTCCCTGCTGAAAAATAGATGTGCACAATCCAACTCAAGAATCCAAAGAGACATAACTTTGTATTTTGAGGACATTTATTCTAATGGTTGTAAAAGATTTGTAAAACTAAATGCTTCATTTTTGAAATGGACTCACATTACACTTGTAAAATGTAGCCAGAATATTCTCATTTTCTAATTATAACTAGATATTTTTTTAATGACGAAAACATTCTTTCTTCTTAATGACAAAAATGTGTGAATGTTTTTTTAACGATTGCAGTTCTGCACTGCCGTAGTCTCTGTGTGGCATGTAAATTAAGTGTACAGAGTGTATCAGCAGTTTAAACAACACAAACTCATAGACAAGGTTTTGTACCTCCTCTGTCAACAGTTACAAGCTGTGAAAAATGAGATTAAAGTTTACTACATCATCTCCGCTGCCTGCTGCTGTTTGCTTATCAGATTCAACATCATACCTGCCACCTCATATTCCATCTGCACTTTATTTAAGCAGGTTTCCCTGCCAATGCTGCTATGTAACAAGAGGCATGACAGCGCGACCAAATGGAGCACCGCCAAAGAGATCAGAAAGGAGTGCGTCTTGGGTAATATCTGCTTGACTAACAGGTGTCGCAGCCTATCACACGCTGTATTTTTGCAGCTTGCTCATCCCAGCTAAGCTCCACTAACGCCTCCTCCCCTTTGACAGCTACAGTAGCCAAAAAATCCTAATTTGGTCAAAGACAGCAGTGATCTGTGAACAGGCTTTAAAAAAAATGTGTCCTCACTACATTTCATCATGTCTCTCATTAGGGGATAAGGAATAAACATTTATTTCAGCAGCACATATTGCACTCAACAATAGTCTGCCATACAGAACCATTAAATATTGTAATAACCATACAGTCTTAGTTTATATAAGTCACATTTTTAAGGAATAGTTATAGTATTTGGGGGAATAAAGATACAGCTGGTTAGCTTAGCATAGCATAAAGACTCGAAACATGCTGAAACAGCTAGCATAGCTCCGTCCGAAGTAAAGGAAACCCACCTAACATGTTCAATCATGTTTGTTTAATCCGTACAAATCCGAAGGACAAAACAACAGCTGGTTCCAGCTACATATTTAGGGTATATGAATGAGAGTGGTATTAATCTTCTCACATAACTCTCAGCAATAAAGCGAATGAGCGTAAAACTATTCCTAACCACATTAATCACACATTAAGTGTGATTTTTCATACGTAGCTAAAGCCAGGTAAATCTAACTAACTCGTCAGCTACATTTTCAACTTCATCTTCAAGCAGCTATTGTAATCTCCATTCCCTATACTGTCATCCACAGGGCGGCTTCATTATTTGTCTGCAGTTTTTCTAGATGAACGCTCTAATAATGTAAGTTTAAAACTCGGGAATAAAGCTTGTATCCTGGAGACTAAACAGAGAGCAGGAGAGTTAAAGGCAGAGAGAGGTGGAAACAGTGCGGCATGTTAGGGTAACAAACAGATAAGTGAGCCTGGGAACCTAACAGCAATTAATCAACATAAAGGATGGAGACAGTCAGTCAGGAGCTGTGTAGGACAGAGAGGGCTGAGAGGTGAATCACAAGTGAGAACAAGAGACACAATTAAGGGCTGCAAAGAGGAATAAGAATATAAAATGAGAGGGAGTGGAGGGGAGAGTGGAGCGGTGGGTGGCCGCGTATGAAATGAAAGGGGGGGGAGGCAGCAGTGGAATCCTGTGGATGAGGTTACATACATGCCCGGAGTGATTAGGAGGCTTTGGCTGCTCTACTTGTGTGAACTGTGACTTTGACCCCTTGCTCTCCCTTTGACATCCTCCCTGCTATTTATTCTACTACGGACCACAATAATAGGAGTATGAGCTCAACCTGTGATTGAGCGGCAAGATGTGTGAAAACCAGAATATCTACAAGGCCCCACAGCTGCCCGGTCCACATTTCCTGTTAAGTTGCACGCTGGGTGAGAAAATGTTTTAAAACTGCTAGCGTGGAAAATTGAAGGTGTTGAAAGTGGACAGCAGGAAAGCAGAGAACAGCTTTAGTAAAATTAGATCTAGCTAAATGTCATTAAAAAAACGTAAACAGGAGAAATCCCATAGATTAGGTACAGGGATGAAAGTGTTTTCTTGTATAATTCTTTGTATGAGAGACCATTTCTACTATTTTTATTTTTTGGATGGTATGTTTATAATGGAAAGAGTGACAGGAAAGACTTAAAAATAAGAAAACATAACTTCTGTAGACAGTACATTGTTCCAGCATTTCTTTTTCCATGTACAAACAGTTCATTTTAAATTTAAACCTGCAATTATTTCTTTTTGACCACTTGAGGGCAGCAGAAACAAGCTTTAAATATAACTCTGACATATTATCGCCTTAAAGCAACATAATTATTGATGATGAGTCACGTTTGTATCCACCTGATAAATTTAAGTTCAATATTCGCTCTCCTTTTAGCTGTTTTTGTTTTTTGTTTCCTGTTTCCACCAACTTCTGAGGGGAATATCTGTCTTTAGCTGCTAAATGCTCCACTGTGTTTACCAGCTAGCCGCTAACTGTGCCGGTCTGTAGTTTGGTGCTGAGCAAGTGGTGTACAGTGGGGTTATCACTGTTTAACTAAAAACCGATAAGTGCCTGTTACGACAATGCTTAATCACTCCATAGAGCAGAGAGGAGCTGCTCTCAGAGTTCGTCACTACGTTTCATCTCTTTCACATTGTGTCATTGTCATTGTTAGCTTTAAGAGCTGGGATAATCTGAAAGTTTGGGAGTTTTCGTAACTATCTGATTAATTAGTTTGAATATAAACTGGAAATTGTGACTTGAACATCTTCAAATTGCTTGTTTTGTCCAACCAACAGTCCAAACCTCATAGATTTTCAGTTTCCAATCACATAAGAAAAGCAAAAACAGCAAATCCTCACAAATGAGAAGCTTGAACCAGATAAAGTTTGACACTCTTCATGGCATCGCATGACATTTTGTGGATTCATTTTCTTTTAATCCACTTTTAGCACTGGAATTAAATAAACAATACTGATGTCATTTTACAAAAAAAACCCAAAGGTTATGCACTGAAAAAGTGAAGAAACTAAGTAGACAATGTCAAGTTCTCACAATAAGTGGCAGAAGAACAGGAGAGCAGAAGAGCCGAGGGTGGACATGCTAGGGCTCAGTGCTCATTATACAGACAAACCTCACTGTTACAGACTAACTATTGCTGTACTCTACCCTATTAACTCTGTGGACTTTAGTTTTCCTATATTCACAAATTTTCTTTCACATATTAGGTTTATGTTTAACCAGTGTGCTTCAAATCTTTGGAGAACTAAAATCTTGCCAGACAACCCTGCTGTAATAATAGTAAAAAAAAACAACCTAATGGCTATTTGGATCGCGGCCTATCCTCCAGCTCGCCCACCAGTAGCACAACACCCTCAACTATACATAGACTACAATTGAATTTGGTGCCATAATCACAGTTAGTACAGTAGTTATCCTCTTACTGGTGTTTAAGGTGACCCTAAGCTTTACATTCACCACGGTACACTTAAGTCAGGGGTTAAGACGTTTGACTAAAATTATAAATTGCTTCAGAGGATTATCCAATTACGTAAAAAAACAGCTGTCAGTCAAAATGTAGTCACATCAAAGCACATCCATGGAGGAATCCTCTGACTCATTCTGCCAAAAATGGTTGGATTCCAGGAAGGCAGCACACCTAACAGCTCGGATAAATCCCTGGAGGCACAGGAGGGGAGCCATGCAAAGATTGCTACAATTTCAATGGTCAGTGTTGACTTAAGTGTTTTGCTCATAGTGCTTAGCAACAGCACAGCTATTAATTATCCAAATAAGCATCACGTAGAGATCCATCTTGCTCTTTAAATAATAGTTGCTTTCTCTCTCAGTGGGTTTTCCAGTCCCTTCCAGCTAAGCAGCTTTAAACACTTCTGGTACTGACCTGGGAGAACTGGCCGCAGACCAAAAGGGCCTCTGGTGGGGGAGATGCCTCTGACGATGCAGTCGAATAGAAAGCTGATCTGCTCGCTCTCAGCAGATGCGAGCAAAAAAACACCGGCCCCTGTAGAAAGCAGAAATGATCAGTGTCATGTTATTATCTCTTTTGCAGCACTGCAATATCCTAGGGAGAGAAAAAAACTGTAATTATTAAGATTTTACTCCTCAGGTAGCAATAAATAAGAAAGATATCAAAAGATTGGCTGGGTATTATTTGAAATGTTTCAATAAGAGCGCCAATATAATTTAGACCTGGTACGCCGGCTACTAACAATTATTTTCATGACGGATAATGCGTAAATCTATAAATGTCTCAAAATAGTGAAAAACTACATATCTATCTATCTATCTAT